TTATATTTTATTTGAATCTTGTATAAAAATTTATATAAAATTAATTATAAATATTACAATTAATAAAATTTAACTTATACTCTATGGGTATAGATTAAAAAATTCCTTAAAATATTTGATCAATTCTCTTAAAACTAACCACAGATAATTTATTTCGAAATGCTAAAACAAATGCCCCACTTCTCACTTATACATATAACACTACTCAACTTATGCTAACAGTGATCAAATTTTGGATTAGGATTATGTAAATATTTCTTTCTTCTCTTTTCTTTTCTTTTCTTTTTTTTAATAAAGAGACAATGATACATTATATCATTAATAAAAAAAATTGCTTTAAAAAATCTAAATTTTGTTGGACTAAAGATCAAATATTGGAGTAGATAACACTTTCTGATGCATACAAGTACAACTCACGTCTTAACTCTTAACACAATAAGAAAACCAAAAGAAATCAATGTAACTTTGCTTTCTAAAAAAAAATATGGTAGTAACTGTATAAATATTCGAGTCATACCAATGAAAATTGGAATCAGGGAATGAAAGAATCCAAATAAGATCTAAACATTTATTCCCTTTTTAAAAGGCAGAGATAAATCATAAACACCCAAAGTATACTCAAGAGATTAATAAACACTACTCAAGTACTCATCTCTTTTTCCCTTTTTCTTTTCTTTTTTTTTTTAATTAAAAAAGAAGAGTCTTCCTTAATAATTAAGGACAAAATCTATATATTATTAAATTAGTCTCATTTTATAAATTAATTTTAAAATATAAGTTTTAAAATAGTATCAAGGAAATCAAATTTTATTAAATACACAAAATCAATATAAAAAAATAAATCTTCAAAATCGTATGAGAAAAAAATTAATTTTTAAATATTTAAAAACTAATTTTTTAAAAATATATGTATTTTTAAAATAAAAATTACATGGCAAACTAAAATTGTCAAATATCAAAACGCCGTATCCAAGCACTCTCTATTTATATATGTGGGCCTGAATTTTGCAATCTCAGTCATCATATCATAATGAATCAATTTTCTTGCCTAAACTCCAAGGTAAGAATACCTTTCTGTGCCACAGAAAATCTATCTTCCAAATCCTGCACTGTATTGCCCAAAAATAAGACTCTTCACAGGGTCACCTGGAAGTCTCACCTGGAAGTCTAGAACCTCTTAAATTAAAACTAATCCCACTTTACAAAATAGGTAGGGTCCCTTCAGTCAAATTATCCCCGTACGAACGAAAAGATCCAAAGTATAGC